TATTCTTAGTAACGTTTACGTTAATTTAGGTAAGGTTGTAGTAAGTTAGTATTATNTATATATATATATATATATATATATATATATAAGAGTTTTCAGGGGAATCAGGTAGAGACACATACCATCTCAAAACTGAAAGAAAGACCTACGTGATCTTTTATCGGAGAATACAATTTTTTTTTTTTTTCTTCACGCCTTTCTTTGGGCAAAAGATCACTTACATATGCTTTTTATTATAATAAGATAAATTTCAAAATAAAATCAACATAACAATAAAACCAAGATCTTAACAACTTGATACCATTGAAACAACTATGCACTATGCTTGAGAATAAAAGATAAGATTGCAAGAAACAAAATGAAGAGTGTTGAAGATTACCTCAACCGGGTGTATTACACCCCACACCGAGTCACCACCATCCGATGGCTCGGGATCAACGGTCTAGCTTCAATCTCGAATCAGGAAAACAAATTTCAACCAAGCCACACCAATGGAACATGAACTCCTTTGATCACAAACTCAAATCCTAGGTGAATTCTCTTAGCAACCTAGTTTGAGAGAGATGAATTCTCTTTTTGAAACCCTAAAACCCTTAGCCATAAATCCATATTTGAGAGATATGAGAGAGAAGAACTCCATAACCTAAACCCTTAGGTTCTTTCACAATGTGGGAGAGAGAGATGAAACATGAGAGAGAGAAATTTTCTTAAGCGAGATAGGAAAATAAGGTGTAGAGATTTTGGGTAGAGACAATCCATTTTTTATAAGCTTGAAAAAGAGTAGGGTTTCTTAGAGTTTTTCTTGACTTGCCTCTTCTTGTGAGATTAAACATAGACCGTCGATCAAAGGTGTTTTGTGGGGTGAGAGATCTGAACCATCCATTCCATAGATGGGACATCAACATTATGGAAGGTGCATAGACCATTATCCCCATTTCTTTAACCATTTTCCCATCAATAGAAATTAGATAAATTAAATCTAATTAAAATATTATGTATTCTATAATCTTTCACAAAATATTCTAAAGATATATCAAGTTAATATATACTTTCAATATTTGGTCAATATATGGTCAAAATATTCCATATCTTATTTGACTACATGTCATAACATAATATTACCAAAACATGAAATAACTTAAACTCCAAGAAAGAATCTAATTGATGGGGCGTGCCACCCATGTGTGGCACATGTGGGGCCCACTTACTTGACAAATGGTGGGCCCATGTGCACTATGGGCCCCTCCATGATATTTTATATAATTTTAAATTATTTAAAAAAATTCTAAGACATTATTTGAATTTTATAATTTTTTAAAATCAATATCTTTATTTTTATAAGTCCAAAAAAGTTATAAATAAAATATCAAATGACTCATAAAAATTTAAATAATAATTCTAAAATAATTTCTATAATAAGACAAACATAATTAAATTAACTTGATGGGAAATGGATCCATATGGTTAAGGAATTTTAATCAGCAATCATGGGGCACTTCACCTTCAACTGTGGACTACAGACCACACTTGCCTTATCGAACCGACCTAGTGTTTCCCATGACCCACAGTCCAAGTAGGAGCTCATTAGCGGGTCACCAAAGTCTGACGTATGAGCCAATGGGTCGCAGTCCCAGTTTGTAAATTACAGATCTTCCCTTGGAGACAAGTCAAGGTCACCAAGACCTTATGCTACCATAGCTCTATGACGCATAGGGGTATTTCTTGTACATGCATACGCTTCACTCTAAAAGGTGGATTTCTGGTTTTTTCGAACGATCTATCGATATGCATGCCGTGTGATGGTATATGGATGAGGTTTTGGCCCTTGTCTCTGTAGGCCACCATCACACACAAGGGGCACACAGTCCCTCGACTCACTCATCCGAGCATGTTCTCCAACCTCATCAAGGGCTAACCCATAAACCCTCATCGGTTTGTTTTTTATGCCCAGGTAACATGGATTTTTCGCAACCGACTGGCCTAGATCGTTAAGCACATATCGGTATCAGCAAACCATCGTTTGCTTAGTATGTTCTACGAGGGACCACACTCCCACTGAGCTCATGTTCTATTTTATCATTTCATTTTACAAGCACTCACAAGGCCTTTAAAGGCCACATAAACCCAACAGAAACTAGTTCGGTCACGATTGATTTCAGTTCAGATCGATGATCCAGATTGGAAATTACCGAGCCCTAAAACACGATTTAAATGATTCATAGCATTTGTGGCGTCTCTAATCATGTGAAACGGGTTTTACAACTGATCCATCTCGAGAGAATAAATTTACAAAGGAAGGATGTGTTTGCAAAAAGGGGTGGTTCAAATCGAAACCACCTGGTTAGATTGGAATCGGTCACTGGCCAGTTCGAGTTTTGATCAGTTTCGTTGATCTGATTGAGTATTTTAAAAAAATTAAAAAAATACATAAATTTCTAAAAAATAAGGGATTTGTTTGAAATGTGTTTTTTACTGTTTTTCATCATTTTGATAAAGATCAGCAAGTGATTTGGCCATCAATACTTATTTTTATATTTTTAAAAATTAAATTACCCTTAGGCACAAATCAATTTTTTAAAACCTTACTCTTTTTTTTTTTTTACTCATTTTAAATTTTATTTGGATGTATTTTGTTTAATCATGTTTTGAATATACTTTCCATATCCTTTCAAATTTTTTATAATTGATTTTTTTATAAACTCTTTCTTAACCATCTAGAACTTCATTGATTAGGCTGGTCAACCTGCCGATTTGCGATTAGTCAGTATCGGACCTTGGCGGGTCCAGTTTGATTTTGAAACAACGATTCTGGACTGTGCTGAGTCACGGATCAAACGGAGGAAAATCGGTGGCAGCAGAGGTGTTGGGAATTTCGAGAGGAAAGGGACACTTGAGACATATTTTTTATAAAAGAAGGCGCAGAAGTTTAGCGACTTGAATTACCACTATAAAAACAGGTTAGGGATGCGAACGTTGGGAAGAAATTCGCTGGTCGAAAAGGAGTTGGACGCGGATCTTCTTCTCTCTTTCCTTCTCTCCACTCAAGTCTCTCTCTCTCTCTCTCTATTTGTTGCTGGGAGCTCTAAGGTTTACCGTTTTTTATTGTTTACATAAATCAGATTTTAGGGTTTGCATTGTACTTTTGGTTTTTCCACTCTGTGGGTTATTTTCTCGAGGAATTCTGTGCGCTGTATTTGTGCTTGATTTATTTATGTATCTGATTCAGTGTTCTAGGATTGTTTTCTAATAATTTCTTTTCTGCGTATTAGGGTTTATTTGCCATTAATCTTGGGCATGATTGTCATGTTGTAGGGTTCCGTTCTCATTTTTCCCCTTTTGAACTTCTTTGGTGGTATGGATCCCTAAATGGTTTTGTTTTCAAGATTTTGCGTCCTTTGGTTTTCTGCATTCTTTTGATTTCCTTTTCCAATTTGAATTCAGAAGTGACATTTTCTTGATAAATTGACTGGATTCAGAAATGGCATTGTGCTGAGGGTTTTCTTTTTCTTCTTTGGGTTGTCCACTTCTGCCTCAGGAGAGATGTACCACTATGAAAGATTTATTTTGCTAGATTGGTTACTAGAGTTTTTCTATTAGCAAAGATATTAGCCTTCGTACCTGTTTTTTTTATTTTTGCTTTCTCGTGCTAGTTAGTTTCTGGTGTTTTTCCATGATATTATAGTTCTATTGTGTTAGTCTCCTCATGATCTTTATATCGTTTAACTTGCTTCAGTCATTTATATTTATGTTTGCATTTGTTTCCGCTATACTCCATTTTGAGTTGCTGAGATAGAGTTCTTTTCTTTTTATTTCCCCTGTGATGTTTATTGTATTTTAATTCATTTTATTTCTCTTTAGAGTTGCATCGAGAAGGAAGGGGGAGTGCTGTTATTGGGCTGATAGACCGATCTGTGGTGACATTTTGCATAAGGTAAGAAATTGAAGGGTTCTTATTGCGTAATATTGTTTCAGCAATCTTTCTCTTCCTTCATCATGAGTATAAATGATTAATACTTAAAAATGAAACTAAAAACTTGTAAGAAGAAAACATATGGTGTTCTTAACTTGACACCCTCTTTCCCTCGTCCTTTCGTTTGATTGTTTTATTTATGTCTGGTTTCAACTGTAATTCGTGAGTTTTTATATAAGTGGTGAGATATTGTGATATGGAGCTTTCTGTCATGTGGCATCATTTTATTTAGTTATATGATGTGATATATTTTTCATACCCATTGGTACCTGTCATGTCATCATAACTTGTGAAAGAAGAGTACAATTGATGTCCTTCATTTTATGTTTGATTAGGAATACAGCCAGGCGTTACTAAGAACACAAGGAAATGTTTTGCTATTCAACTTCCAAATAGAAGCTAGACTCTAAGGATATCTAATTACCCATAAAAAGAGAATTTATTTGTGACTTAGTCCATTAAAAAGTTTGCTTGTCTAAAAATAAATACTTCCTTGGAAATTCATATGGCCAAAAAAAGATATTTGTTAAAGATAACACTTGATATCAAGTTTGGGGTTTATCCCAATCAATGTCATTTGCTAAAAAAATACAGGGCCTCATAGGGAACTGATCAATGCATTGAGATGTGCTTAGTACTAGAAAAAAGAAATTACTTATTAGTTTTTGTGAAAGCGATAGGAAGACTTACTACAAGCAGGTTTATATCACATATTCATCTTTCTGATACTTGTCTTTAAGTAGTATATCTTGAAACTTCTTATTTCCTTTTTGTACTTGGTGTGATGGTTAGGTGAGTTTCCTTTCTTATGCATGGATATTGGTTGGCAGCCTTAGCATGCTTAGTGAATTATGAATGCGTCGCGTGTCATTTAGTTCAGCTTATTGTTGGAGATGCTTAATGAATAAAGATCGAAAAATATATTTATAAAAAATAATAAATTCGAAAAAATGCTAGGAAAAAGTAGGACATGATTGGGGAAGATACAAAGGGTTTTCTACGTTAGGGAGAACTGATGGAGGAAATACCCTAGTCAAAATGGTTGTAATATATGAAAGCACTAACTATTCAATACATTGTAAGCATGTTTTGGCTTCTGGAATTTTTTTTCCCTTCTCTCCTTTGACATATCATAAGACGCTTTCCTCGTGTTAAAAGTAGCTCGGATGGTAACTTTGTGCAATCCATGGTTCAAAATTGTTAAAAGTAGGCTATAGTGGTTGATTTAAATTAATCATGTCTTACCTGATCCAATCTTTACCCAATATTGAATGGTGTGATATGTATAGTCAAAATCTCCAGATACGGTCAAATATCTGAGATTTTGAGGGTTATTGCCATATAATGGCAATATATGCTTTTTATAATGGCAATATATGCTTTTCTTTACAATTTGGAGAAAGCAGGCAATCCAAATCTCAATGTATCCTTTTTTTTTTCAAAGAATTGCCTGTAATATTTAAATTAATTTAATATTATTTTCTTTGCTCATTTAAACCCTGATATAGAGGATGCTACCACCTGATTTGGGCCTTGGGCCCTCCTGCTCCAAACCTTTACACCACTATTCAGAACGGTGTTTGTAAACAATGACTTGGGCTCGTCCAGGTCCGCTTCATCCTAACTCAAACTGAGTCTGTGAGTATAACAAGGGCAGACATAGGGCTCCCAATCTGATCCTACTTTGGCAAGTCTCTAGTTGACCGGATATTTTTTGATTACTGTTTTGAACATTGGTGCCACCTTTGGAAAGATGGCAAATGCCAAGTTCCAATTCGGTAGTCGGTTCTCTTTTGGCCGACCTATGTCAGTGTAGGTACTTCGTATGGCTATCCTAAAAACTGAGGATTGCATGCTGGGACTTGTGTTAATAAAACTTTTTGGTCCTTTTCTCCATCTTTGTGGGATTAGATATTTTTCTTTTTTTGGTTTGTTCCATTGGGGAACTGAAACAACAAGGATTAACTGTAAATGGATAAATATAATCATCTTTCACAGTTCAATACCAGAAGTAGTAATCAATTTGGAAGTGGAACATTAAAATAAAAACTAACAAAAAATCAAATTGATCTGAATTTTGAGCAGCTGCATCACTTGAGCTTCATCTATTGGCATCTGATCTACAACTCAAATTGATTTTTTGTTGACTCAGTGGACCACTGTTGATGTATTTGAATATGCCTACAAAGTTTGGATTTGATCATTAAACCTAGTTCCTACTTCCATCTTGAGTACAGTGTGGACTGGTTTGTCTCAGCTGGCTGAGGTTTGTAGATCATGATATTCTAAATCAATGGGGTCCTATTTGATTGGCATTGCTGAGTCTATGAAATTTTAGAGACTGTCTGGCCTTGTCAGACTGATAATCCATTCAAGTCCTTTCTGAATTAATATGGGTGTCCACAAGTTGGACTTTCAATGGTTCCCATCAACAATATGGCTGGGCACAGTGAGCTATCTTTCGTTGTCCAAATCCAACAAGGATCTCATTCATCAGGTTCTAGTTAATAGCTAACTAATAATTTCTCATCTGATGGCAGATGGCATCTAGTGATTGTTATAAAGTTATTAATGTTTTTCAAATGGTTTTATAATGTTTATAAATTGATTATTTCCTTATTTCCTTATTTCCTTACTATCTATTCATGTGAATGCATTTGTTTATAAATTGATTATTTCCTTACTATCTATTCCTGTGAATGCATTTGTTCTTGGCACTGTTATCACTAGAACCATGTAATAGGATCAGGACTCATGTAGTACCTGACATTGTCTGCATACAACTTCTTGTTGGGCACTTATCTGGAAGAGGAAGTAAGTGTTGTTCTCATACACTGGTTCTTTCTTCTGTTGCTTAATGAGCACTTCATACTCCTGTCATGTTGATAAATTCATGTTATTATAATTTTGGTTTGTGGCTTACATTTGTATGAAATGTAGGAGGAACTAACATTGTTTCTTCTCTTCTGTGAGATGCACTTCCGGGTATCATCTTACAAAAATGCAGTTATTGAGCTGGTTTTTGTCCCCAAATGGACAGCAAGAAGTTCATGCAGCTGGTCGAGGAGAAGAAGAAGAAGGTCCTTGAGAGGATGGAGGCCCCCATGAAGTGGGAGCAGAGGCTTGAGGCCGCTGCCAAGGCCAAAGCTGATGCTGAGGCCAAGGAGAGAGAAGAGAGGAGGCAGAGAGCAGCCAACAAGCACAAGAGGAAAACCTCATCAGAATCCGATTATGAATCTGATAGTGAGAGTGATGGGAAAAGGTCGAGGAGAAGGAACCACAAGAGGAAGGCCTCGTCCGAATCTGATAGCGAAGGCACCAGGAAAAGGTCAAGGAGAAAGATCCATAAGAGAAGGACCTCATCAGAATCAGATCAAGGATCTGATGGCGAAGGCACCAGAAAGAGATCAAGGAGGACCCACAAGAGAAAGACTTCATCAGAATCAGATTATGAATCCGATAGTGAAGGTACAGGAAAGCTTACTAGGAGAAAGACCCACAAGAGGAAGGCTTCATTAGAACCGGGTGAGGAAACTGATAGTGAGGGAGCCGGGAAAAGTATTCGGAGAGAGGGTCACAAGCGGCACACTCGAAAGCATGGTCAAAGGCTCAATAGGAGGGGCACTCACACGAGCTCGAATGAGGTGACAAGCAGTGAGGAATCTGGGAGCCAGTCAGAAAGTCGGAGGAAGAGAAAGAGGCATGTGAAGGCGCACCACCATAGGGCAAGCTCAAGATCATTGGATTCTGGTAGTGAGGATAATTTTTCATCGGGCAAATCATCAGATGATAACAACGAAGAGTTGGGTAAAGGTGGTGGACGTGGTAGTAAGAGGTGTTACCGCCATCATCATCGCCACCACCATGATCACCACCGCCACTGACATCAGCATCGTAGAGAGTCAGAGGAGCAGATGAATGGGAAGGTGTCATCGAGCAAGAGGGAGAGAGAGAAGTCATCGGTGGGAGAAGGTGGTCAACACCATGAGTGCTAAGTTAAGTGAGGGACTCTTGTTTGATTTTGAGGTCTGTAGTTACCATTTTTATTGTATTGCAAACAACTAATGCTGCTTGTGCTGCCTTTTGGGTTTGGGAAACGATTTACTTAGCCATATTGGATTCAGAAGGCTGGTGTGTGCGTTCCCTTTGTTTTGATTCATTCTCAGAAAATGACTTCCTATTTATTCAGGGCGTTCATCTGTTCTTTTTTTGTTGTCAGCTAACTCTTTTTTTTCATTCATATAAAATTATGTATACGTATATAAGCGTAGTTATACAAAAACTTTCATGGGAAAGGCAAAAGATTTCGTTTTCGTCATTAACCATTGTGTTCTCTTGATTTTTTACAACCAAAAAGATCTCCTAGTTCTTTACAACCAAAATGCGAAGCCGAAAAGAAGGTTTTGGGGAGTTTCAAAGCGATGCCAAAAAGAAGGTTTTGGGGAGTTTCAATTCATTGGAGGGCCATTTTGTGGTTCTCATTTTACTATCTTTCATAGAGATCTTGAATTGGTTATTATGTATTGGAAAAATTTAAGTGTGGCACCAATAGATGATAAGATGAGATAGACTAGATTTTAGATGGAGAACTTGAATTGATTATGTTGTATCTTTCATGGAGAACTTGAATGGGTTATTTTGTTTTTGGAAAATTTAGGTGTAGGTATATGTGGTGTAGACCCAATCTAGCACTGGTTAGGTGGTGAAAGTTAGTCTATGTGGAAGATTAAAAGGACGCAAGGGATGGGTCCAAAAAATATATGATTGGAAGTATTGAGAAAAGATACAGGAATTTATAGCCTGAGGGTATCATTAATATAGTAGAATGATAGACCGGAATTCATATAACGGATTCTAATTCGTTGGGAAAAAACTTTGAGATTATGAGTCGGACATATCTCAATGATAGAGCTGTAGCTGCAGTGCAAACCTGTGTCTCCAAAGTTCTTAAATCTTTTCATGGATTGAGGACAGATATAGCAGTAGCAGCAGTGCAAACGTGTCTCCAAAGTTCTTAAATCTTTTCATGGATTAAGGACCCAAAAACACTTCAGAATACTTTTAATTCGTTTTGAAGAATCGAATTGTTATCCTTATCCTTTTTTATCCATTGTCCATTCAACGGATTGCTTTTTAAGTGCAGATTCCGAGATCTATCATTCTTTACAAATGTTGCAGTTTAAAGCATGCCTCCTAGTGCATAAAAAGAGCAGTAAAGCATGCTTATTAATGTGTACAATGACCAATGCTTCATATTATAAAGTGATCCAGGATTTGTTTTTCTTTCTCTTATCAGAGTGTTACTGACCGTACATTAATACAGAAAATCAATGTAGACAGATCATCCTTACAAAAAAAGTTATTCTTATTAGGGTGTAGTTTGCTGCAACTTTGAGCAATCAAATGACAGATCATCCTTACAAAAAAGTTAGTTCTTATTAGGGTGTAGTTTGCTGCAACTTTGAGCAATCAAATTAAGGTGATTCTTATTAGGGTGTCGTTTGCTGCAACTTTGAGCAATCAAATTAAGGTGCATCCCTAATCTGTCACGAGACACAATTTAGAGTGTTAAAAAAGGCTTAGGATGTTGCAAAAATTTAATTTTTTTATCCAATGATAAAATTTTGAACTCTAAAATGGTTCAAATCAAGCAGATTTATAAATACATAAATTTTTTGAAAACAATTGGTCCAGGTAATGTGTTGCAAGATGAACTATTTTTAAGACTTGAAATCTCTTTTATTTTTCTATTCATCTCGATGTAGAGATGACCAATTAGATATTTTTTCAACATGAAAAAAACGTATTTCGAAGGATTTTAGAGGTGCACCTTAAGTCTACAATTTAAAGCGTCAACCTTAATATAAATGTTTTTCTCTTATTTATATTAGAGCAAGCTTTCTATGCTTCTCCTACAGCATAAAACTTATATACTTCTCCTTATCCAACCAACCATTCTAAATGGTGGGCTAAGATTGCCTCAATCCCAATGTCACATCTCTACACTATTTTATTTTTAATTTGTTTCTATAAACTATTTTGACACCAAATTTTGTACATACGTTCCTCTATTAAACTCGCATTGGTGAAAAATATATAAAAAAAATTTAATAACATAAAATGACCAAAATACCCCTAAAAGTTTCAAGAGTATTTTGACTATTATTTTTTATCGAAAAATTATTTTTAATATTTTTTATAGGTGCGCCCCAATAGAAGATGGCACGTACCAACTTTCATATTTATAAAATTTGTATAAAAAAAGCTAAAAATAAATACTTTGAGATGTTGGATCTAAGATCAAACGGTGAGTGGCTCTCTTGATCAAAATTGAACGGCTGGGTGGTAGGAGAAGCATAGAACTTCTATGCTATAGGGAAAAGTATTGAAACCTTTTCCTTTATATTAGCCTCACAAAACTGAAGCCATGTCACCACAACCTTGTTAATATGTCAACCTCTTGATTGGTTTCTCTATACGATTGTGAAAGTTCAAGTTGTCGAGAGTGGAGTTTGTCTCAAATGCCATCGATTGCCTTCCAGAGAAACCAGAGGCATCACTGCATATTGAAGGGCAATTCGAGGATATCATTCGGGATCCATGTAGTTGGTCGATGGTTCTTCAGTAGGCTTCCTTTCCTAAATGTGGACTGAAAATCAGCTGAGTTATGTCCTTTAAATTTATTTGGCATCAATCCCGGTTTATGATTGTAAGCTTAAGTTGTGAGTAGGGGAATAGAAGGTGATTCACTGACCTGCAAAGAAGAACATTAGGTATTGGGCGACCTCATTTTTGAAGTGATTCACAGTGAGGTGCTTGTTGAGGACAATCAGCCAAGCAAAGGCCTATATTTCGAGGGGCACGATGAGGAGGCCGCAAGTGAAATGCAGCGGGCTATGAGTCTATAAGACGAATTGACCGGAAATTCTGGCTCCCACGTAGAATTCTCCTGGCCTGCTAGAAGTTTTACAGTCTCTCCTGTTAGCGGAATGTCCTTTCTCTGAATTCAACTGACCTAGTAATCTGAGAGCCGCCTCCTATTACGAGCTCATTCACTATGGCTCTGCTGACTTAATGGCCTGGCCTTTTAGAGTCTAGGGATATTCACACATAGCAGTCGACAGCCTAACCATTTGTCTATCTGAAATCTCGTTGAGCCACCACCATTACCAACACTCATTCGACTGTAGTTTAAGAAGATAGTCTTGGAAGAAACAATGGTGGAGGCTTTCTAATTTGTCCATAGAGCACTTACAAGGTGGCCGGCCGGACGCAGTTCCGGTTAGGGGTTTCCACAATTTTTAGGATTGAAATTCAAATGTTGAATTTTAAATTTTATATTGCTTTTTATTTTAGTTGAGATTTTGTATGTTGTACACTTAGTAGTTTATAGTTTAGTAGGATAAACTTAGATAAATCCCTAAAATTAAGGGATTGCCTCTTGTATTCTTTTACATATACTCCACATTTGGGTAATACAATCATTGGAAAATTGTTCCATTTAAATTGCTCCAAGGTTTGATATTGTATCAGAGCACCTTCTCAAAAAGCTAATTCCATTGTGCACTCACCTTGATCTAGAAGTTCTTGAGGTTGGTTTTCTTTCTTCTTCCTCTCTTTTTTTTTTTTTATAACCATCATCTCTCTCGTGCAAAGAGAGTTCGCATATCTTTGTTGCATCTCAACTTTTGCATCCTTTCCATGCAAATAGTCAAATTTGGTTTTGCATCTCCCAATATCTCCATTGCATATCAAATTTTGCATCCTTTCCACCTCGTGCAAATAGTAAGTTGATTTTGCATGTCCATGTGGCTTTCACGTTTGCAGCTCTTTCCCTCTAATTGTTTTAGTTGCGTTTTGGTCACAGTTCTTTGTTCCCTCTTAATATTACCGCAAATTTTTTGGACGATTTTTCCTGGCTGCTTTTTTTTTTTTTGGCTGTTGCTGCATTTTATTTTAAGCCGGGATCTCTATTTATTTGTTTTGGTGTGACATGATATCACACAACCTACAAATTAGATATAGACTCCACACGGTTGCACTTTCTCTTTCTTCAAAGCTTTATGAGCCATGACTGATATCAATAACAATACTGCTACGGATTCTTCAAATGCAAATTAATCCCTTTTTTTTTACATCATTCCGGCAGTCCGAGGACTGTTCTTGTTTCGTATCCCCTTACAGGGGTAGGGGAGAATTATTCTACTTGTGCTCGTGCCATGCGCACGGCCCTAAGTGCCAAAAACAAGTTGGCCTTCATTGATGGCACTATACCTAAACTAGAGCCTTCTTGTTCATCTTTTTTCATTTGGGAGAGATGTAATGATATGATTTTGTCTTGACTTCTTAATGCCTTGTCCAAAGATCTTGCAGAGAGTGTTGTGTTTGCCTCCACAACGCATGAAGTGTGGACTGACCTACGAAATTGTTTTTCAGCTAGCAACGCCCCACAACTTTACCAAATCAAGAAATTTTTAGCCACCTTCTAATATGAGCAACTCTCATTGTCTTACTTCACTCAATTAAAAGAAAAATGGGATGAGTTAGCCTCTCTCACTTCTTTTACTCCATGTTGTTGTGGGGCACTTAAAAATCTCAACAGTTATATCCAACAATAGTGACTTCTTAATGAGTCTTACAGCGTTGTGTGGAGTAATATTTTACTCCTCGATCCACTACCAATTGTTGCCAAAGCCTACTTCCTTATTCTTCAAGAAGAATGAAACGTGAGATCAATTTACATATACCTTCACCAGAAGCTACGACCTTTGCTATGGTCCAATCTCATGCGCTGCAAACTATAATAATACCCAAAAGAAGACAAAGGGCTGATGTTAAACTATAATTGGTCCAGTCTCAGTCCCTTATTGTATTGTGATTACTGTCGCAAAGATGGCCACACAAAGGGCTGATGTTAAACTCGTGGGCTATCCAAACAAACAAAATAAGCCACGTGCCTTCAATGTTGAAACCACTGCAGTTCCTTCCATTAGCCAACTTACATCCACAATAGCCCCTCAATTTACAGCCGACCAACACCGTCAACTTTTGCAATTGCTACAGGTACGTAATTCAAGTCACTTGGCCAATCTCGCAAATAATCTCTATTGCTCAACCTTTTCTTCATTCAATGATACAAGGATCATAGACAGTGGTGCCATTGACCACATTGTTTGTTCTCCAT